TGTGTGTGTGTGTGTGTGTGTGTGTGTGTGTGTGTGTGTGTGTGTGTATCATATGAATGCCACAGCTTGTATAAATGCATTTCCCAGCTTCCAATGGGACAAGCAAACTGCCACAACATGGTTCTGGACTTGGCTGAAAGGGAGGACCCTCACCAATGAGCAAACTTTCATCTAGGGATAGAACTCCTGACTTCTCCTGTCTTCTATACCTACCCTTCCCATTCACCAGCCCACTCAGTACAGAGCCCTGTTAGGAGAGCCTATAAAATACCCCAGATTACCTATAAACCAAGATCTAGGATTAGCATAACAGAGTTGAGATATTCCTTTGGAGTTTGTAAATGTACCAGGAAGCCAAACCTTGCATATGGCACCATTCACAGCAATATCACGAATATTATTATAATAGTCCTAGCCATCGTAACATTATACTTATATATACAAAAATATATCAAAGTAATTCTAAACGAAGAGGAGTCATCAGTGGATAGGTGTGTGCAACGTCTGTGCCCTAAACGTTGGAGTGCCTTGGAGGAAGTTTTGGGACAGTTGAGGGATTCGTTGCATGTATTTCTCCAGCTCTCGCACATCCTGTAGCCCTCCTGAACCTTTACTCCAATGGAACAGGAAGATTATTATGCCTTCTTCTCTTCAGACACCCACACACACGTGCCTCCGAGGACGGATGTGATGGTGGGATATAGCACTGAAGGGTCAATCTGGCTTTCATTCCACAGGCCAAGTTTCTGAAGTCATTGGGGTTGTAACTGAGAGTTTGGCACCATGTTTTTACAGCAGAGATGAGTGAGACGGAAATTTCAGATTAAAATCTGGATCTGAACTTCCTCAAGGACCAGGAACGTTCAGATACAGGGGTTTGGTTTGGCTTATTATAGGTGTTGACCATGAACCATCACCCAGATCCAAACCTCCCCATAGTCTGAAGATTTCCAGACCTCTGGATTTGGTTCAGACCCATCTCTAGTTTGCAGAAGGTGTCTCCTGTCTCAGAACACCTGTGTCAACATCAGGCTTGCCTATAGGATGCATAGCTGCGCAGCCAATCCGCTTTTGTGTAGCTTTCTCTCTAACATGTGGAGATGAGTGAGGACGCTGAGGCGCTTTAGCTGGGAAGGGAAGGCTGGCTTCATGCATTACCCATCCCGTTCTGCTTTCTAACACACAGATCTCCCTTTCCCCACCAGCCCAAAGCTGGAGCCTCAGCTAAGCACCATTTTCAGGCCCAGGGAAGGACATGATCATTTTTACAGCATCAGCACAAGGAGAGAAGTTGGGGTTCTTAATTGTTTTTAAGGTTCAGCTTTCCTTTTCTTTTATTAAAGTGAATTCAGTGCTGGTGAAAGGTACCAGATTGGCAGCCCCAGAGACTGAAGGACTCTGTTGATCTACTGGTCAGGGCAGAAGGGCAAGCTTCCTACACATTGCCCTACTCATATACCACTCTCTGACATCCAGAGGTAAGAAGGAAGGCCAGGTTCCATGGCCCACCCAGTTCTTGGCCTCTACACAGCCTGCCAACAGGAGTATCACTTGTGGTAGAGGCTTACCACCAATGGATGGACTGAAACCACCAACTAACCACTAAACAGATGGTGTCACCTGTCAGTCATCACCAACCTGGGCTAGAGTCACAGTGACACCTTACAAGTGGTAAGGCTCTGCAAGCAGACCTTTATCACTCCCTCAGGGTATCCAGTCCCCCTGCCCCTCAGCCTGGGATTTAACCTGCTTCATGCTCTTAGCCAAATCTACTTTGAAATACCAATTACTACAGTGAATTCCCCTTGCTGAAGACCCACTGATGTACGAAAGTGGGAGTGGGACTCCTTTCTGTCCACATCACCCTTTCCATGCCAGCATGATCCTTAATCTATCCATGTCCTATTTCCACTGACCAGTGAGCCCCTAAAAACTGGATATTTGGGCTCACTTATTTTCCTTTTTACCTTGAAATTATCGAGAGCTTTATCTCTTGATCTGCTAAGGGGAGGGGAGTAAGGTGTTGCCATTGGTTGGTACACTGCAGTGGCTCATCTCCCTTTGCAGGGACTGGCCTATAGCACAACAGCAAAGAAAACTGAGGAAAAGCCTGTGGGAGGTGCCACTTAGGAAAGCTGCAGAGAGAAAATGGACGAAAGAGACGTGGGTTCTGTGGTCTGGTCCCCAGAGGATTTTAGTGCTTGGACATGTCACCCTTTTGAAACCCATTACAGAAAAACAGCTCCTAAGGCATTCTGAGGTCACAGAATCCTGAGCCAGTTCCCATGTTGAAAGCCCCCTGTTGACCACTAGTGCATTGTCAGCATCTGATTCCCTCTGTCCTAGTCCTTTGCCAAAATGTGCAAACCCCGTCACGTTTGGCTTGGGCACAGAAGTACAATTCCTTTGTCTCAAGAACATGCTTCACACTCCCTTTGTGAGGCTTGGTGGCTGGCGGATTGTTCATCTGTTTGCTTTGTGCCCAAAGGGGGTATGCAGCGGAGGGAGGTGAAGGAGAAGAATAGCCAATTCCGCTCCCTGGGAAGGTCATACCGGCTTATCCAGAGTCTTAGGGAAAGGCGTGCCACTGGAGGAGGAGATCTTCCTGCAGACTGTGTTGGTGTGGTTCTGGCAGCGGCAGCCAGGACGTTTCAGACTGTCGTAGCCCTGCTGGCAAAGTTTGAGGCACCCCAGCGTAGGGAAGTAGCAGCAGAGGCAGGGCATGAGGAGAGAGAGGAAGCTCATTGCAGCCCAGCGGGCACAGCAGGACCCCGAGCCGCAGGAGCAGGGGTCATCGGCACAGGTGTCCTCATCGTCAGTGGAGCAGTGGTAGAAGAGACCCTTGACACAGCACAGGCAAGTCCCATAGTCGATGAGACTCTCTGGGGAGCAGAGGCAGCGCTGGTTGCAGACCCAGCAGGAGGGCAAGCTGCGAGCAGCTGTGCAGCGGGCGCACTTACAACGCCCACACTCCTCGCAGATGAAGAGGTGTCCAGAGTGGAGAGTGGCCTTCTCCACCACACCTTTCAGTGGTTCCTCGGGCTTCAGGTCGCCCACTCTGGGCTGCGTCCGGATGAGGGAGTGACCAGAATGTGAGGGCGTGACCCCGCTCAGCAGCCGCTGGTCCGAGGTGGTGGTGCTGTGAGACACAGAGCTGGCAGTGCTGGAATGACTCAGGTGCTGCTGCAAGGCCGACATCTGGTGGTGGTGACTGTGGCTCCGGTGCAGGTCCTGGAAGGTGGAAGACACCAGGCAGTCCTGAGACCACTCTTGCTTGTGGGCCTGCTGTGAGAGGGATGGGTTGGACCGAGCTTGCTTGAAGGAGATGGCGGGCCTCTCCACATAGTCATTGCTGGCACGGATGGAGCAGATCTGGTCAATGGAGAGGACTTGTTGGAAGTCCTCAGCAGGCAGATCCATTGTCTCGTCACTGTTGAGTTCAGCCACGCTGGATGAGCGCAACAAGGGCTTGCGGCATCAGGGCACATCGGAAAATCCTAGGGAAGAGGGACAGAGCAGGAGAGAGAGAAAAGACACCTGAATTACAACCGTAACCCCAGCATTGAAACAAACTGGGAAGCAAAGGGTGATGGGAGAGCCACGGACAAGCTACCACAGGAACATAAACACCAGGGAGGGAGAGGAATTATTCCACTGGGCATAACTGGGAGGACTGGACTGGACTGAGTATGAGGACAGGAAGACTTAGTCAGCTTAGTCAGTAATAAGAAACATTTCTCAATGGTGAGGTCTATTGCCCTGTCACAGGGTCACTCAAGCAAAGAGTAATATTTTGATCTTTGCTAGTGCCTCCCAGCTGCAGATCTCAAAGCACTTCGCAAATACTGAGGAGTTAAGTCCCACACCTCCAATGTAGGGAAGTATTGTCCTTGTTTTAGAGAGGTGGCAACTGAGTCCCAGAGATGTGAAGTGACTTCTCCAAGCTACACAGAGAGCCTGGGACAGAGCTGGGAAGAGAATGATGATCTGTCCTGTGGCTTCCACCCCACCCCACCCTTCCCTCGCTTGCACAAAATGCTGAACATATACTTTATGGATCAATCCCACTAGCCAGGGGATGAACAAAATGAGCCAACATCTCAATCTCTGATGTCTTTGATCCAGACTTAGTTTCACATTGGTTTTTGCTGGGGTCTCCAGAGCATTTCCATTCATACCCCACGACACATAAAGATCATGCTTACCTCCTTCATGAGCACTCAGAGAAAAGCATTTTTTTTCTCAATAGTGACAAATGTTCGTGCTAACCAGATCTGCTCCAGGCCATCAGGGTTTGTCAGAGGATATGCTACCTGCATAGAGGCTGCCAGGATTTTGTTTTCCTGATTCTCACTGCAGCACTGGAAACACATTCTGGCTTTATGCCAAGTGGTCACAGGGATGGGAATGGCCTCCAACCATGCTGTTTAAGGGAGCCTCAAGGTGAGACCAATATTCAGGGGAAGATCCATGGGTGGAAGGTATTTGCCATCTGACTCAGCTTCAGGGATTAATGCTCTCTCATGATGACAGCATTTCTGGACCTGGGTATGGCCTGTAGGGAGACACCTGTGACCATAGAATATGGGCAGTCCTTGGGGAGGAGGAAGAAAAACGTGAACAGGATTTTTGTGCCTATGGATTCTAGTTACAGCCTCATGGCAGGGAGAACCAAAGCGAGATAGTTCTTATAGTGCTGCTGTGTGCAAATTGGGGTACGGGAAGTGACCCAACAACACCTAAGGAGGGAAAGGTAATTGTTTTGTGTCGTACACTGAAAACAACCCCAGCCTCGGTTGCAAATCATTTTAAGTCATGATCTTTTACTGTAACTATTGGTGGTACCTATCAACAGTATGTATTTTCCATTGACAGCTGGGTTGCTGTGTAGTATTTTCTGGCTTTCTTAGGACAATCTGTCCTCATCTTGCAAGTTCTACAGGCAACCATACGCTGCATGGATGTTTTCACAGCCCACAGTTCTGCAGAAGGAAGCTATTTAAATACTGACCCTCTTCACTGGCTTTAGACATATTCAGCAAACCAGTCTGATGATGGCAGAGGAGACTTGCCTGTAGGCCAGGAACTATGGGTAAAATACTACCCATGCAGTACACAAAGTGGAGAGAAGATTGATTTTCATTAGCTAGGCTGACCTTGAAAGAACAGACAAGAGCAAAGGCAACTTACTTTGATTGTTAAAGTGAGATCTGTCCTGTCCCTAGTCTCCGGAAGGAAAGAAAAGGCAACCAGTCTGATTTCACTGTATTGTATTGTGCTGCTAAAATCTCCAGTCTGCTTTATGGGAGGAAGGGATTAGGATCAGCTGCTTAAAGAGACTTCAAAGATGCGTCAGGACTGCCTTTGCCCAACAGTGGATTTTCAACATTTCTTAATAAGCGTTGGACAAGTGGTTTCAGTATCTTTATAATGCCTTCTCTCTAGCCACCATCCCACCGGGGGGGGGGGCACAGGGGAGAAAGGGGGTGCTGTTCTGGCTAATGAGCCAGACCAGGTAGCACTGACAATAAATGTGGGGTTTTCTCAGACAGGTGGTCCCTAGTCAGATGGGCAGCCAGGAATAAGACCAGAAGAAACTAGTTTAAGAGGGAGGGGTGAAGTGGGGGGAAGGGCAATAAGATCCAGCAAATGTCAGGATGAATACAGAATGGCCATGAAATGCACCAGACTCTAACGAGATGTGCTCACCATGTCCACTGTGTAATGGACAGTCTGAATGAGCTTCTCACCAGAAGTGTACATTATTGACTGAATGGGTTCAGAAGGGTACAGAGTCATTAGGTGTAAATAGTAGTCTGAGCTAGTGAGGCACAAGGATGCTGACCATAGGGATGGCTAATTCAAGGGGGTTTCTGTGTGACACCCAACCCAGTATATGGGAGCAAACAGCTGGCCCTAGGGAACCCAAGGTAGGCTTGGATGTCTAGAGAAAGCTGGGTAGGGAAGGCACATGGGCTCATAGGACTTCTATGCTGCACCACTAATGTGTAGGCTGGACAGCTACAGTCCTTGAGACCACGGATTATGAACAACCAGTTGAACTGGTAATACAGTATGTAGGATCACACAGAGTGAACTTGGAGAATAAATTTGGAGAGCACAAGAGCCTGGAGGACAGGCTGAATGAGAGGGGACTGAACTTAGGATGGAAGAATCCCATGCACTGCTACAGGCTGGGGACTGACTGGCTAAGTGGTAGTTCTGCTGCATATGAGTCAACAGTGTGCCCTTGTTGCCAAGAAGGCTAACGGCATATTGGGCTGCATTAGTAGGAGCATTGCCAGCAGATCAAGGGAAGTGATTATTCCCCTCTATTCGGCACTGGTGAGGCCACGTCTAACGTATTGGGTCCAGTTTGGGGCCCCCCACTACAGAAAGGATGTGGACAAATTGGAGAGAGTCCAGCAGAGGGCAACAAAAATTATTAGGGGGCTGGGGCACTTGACTTATGAGGAGATGCTGAGGGAACTGGGGTTATTTAGTCTGCAGAAGAGAAGAGTGGGGGGGGAAGGGGTTTGATAGCAGCCTTCAACCACCTGAAGGAGGGTTCCAAAGAGGATGGAGTTAGACTGTTCTCAGTGGTGGCAGATGACAGGACAAGGGGCAATGGTCTCAAGTTGCACTGGGGGAGGTCTAGGTTGGATATTAGGAAAAACTATTTCACTAAGAGGATGGTGAAGCACTGGAATGGGTTACCTAGGGAGGTGATGGAATCTCCATCCTTAGAGGTTTTTAAGGTCCGGCTTGACATAGTCCTGGCTGGGATGATTTACTTGGAGGGTTGGTCCTGCTTTGAGCAGGGGGTTGGACTAGATGGCCTTCTGATGTCTCTTCCAATCTTAATCTTCTATGACCTTCTATGATTCTATGACTTTGTCCAGGGCATGTTAGCAGTACTGCTGCTAATTCCATGGCTGTGTGTCAGTATAGGGCTTGGCCCAGTGGATCACACTCAGGATCTAGAAAGGCACCAGAGGGTAGGATCTGGGTCCCATAGGACACTAGATCCCATGCAGGTAGCATGAGCTAGCTGGAGAGAAACAGGACCCAGATAGCATAGGGTTTGGAACCAAGACCCAAAAGGTAGGATGTGAGGGTTGAGATGACAGTAAAACCCAGCAGTTTTGAGGGCAGTATGACTGGGTGCTAGGATACAGAACTTGGAAGTTACTATAACCCAAAGGAAAGGACATGGAAACTGAAGAGCACTGGGACCAGCAGAACTAAGATAAAGGACTCGGAAGGCAATGGGACCTGCAGGGCTTGGATACTGGGGCCTGATGGCTAGATTCTGGGACCCGGTGGGCACTAGGATCTTGTGGACAGGACTTTGTACTCAGATGATAGAATTCAGGAACCGGCGAGATCGAGGATCCAGCAGGTTTCAGGACCTGCTGGGGACTGGGATCTGGCAGATAGGATTCAGGATACTCAGACACATTGGAGAGGATTCCAGATCCCTGGGCAGGAGCCACAGCAGAGAAGATTTCAGACCCAATGTGGGCTAGGACCCAGTGACTACAGTACACTTCCAGACCTGCTTGGTCACTGGGACTCAGTGGGGTTGATTCTGGACCTGTTAGAAACTAGCATTCAGTAGCTACAATGCCAAACCCAGTGGGTGCCAGGGCCAAGAGGATGTGATTCAAGGCTTGGTGGAGGCTGGGCTCAGAAGATCGATTCTGGACAGAATGGGCACTAGGACCCAGCAGGGCTCCCGATGCCCAACAGGATAAAAATGGATTGAATGACAATAAATTGTTTGCCATTCCGGATGTGATGAATCCAATCCAGCCGGCAGGATGGACCGAAATAGATACTGCAGGCGAAGGTAAAGGAAAAAAGTCATGGATGAATAGGCAGGGAACTGGCAGCCGCAGAGAGAAAAAACTACTACAGCCTGTTTCAGATCAAGAGAACAGCCCATTCAGCAGGGAGCAGCAGCAGCAACAGGAGCTGGGAAATTTACCAGGGGTGGGGTAGGGTGGGCTCGAGACACACACACATGCACTTCTGTCTATTAATGTATCTACCTAGCCATACCCATGCCACCACAGATCAGTGTGGTGAGAGATTCACAGGCCAGATCCTCTGCTGGGGTGAATCAGCAGAGCTCAGCTGAATTCAGTGGAGCTGCACTGATTCACACCAGCTAAGGAGGTGGCCCCAATACTGTGTATTTAGATGCCACTGGGGCTTAGGGTGACCAGATGTCCCAATTTTATAGGGATAGTCTTGATTTTGGGGTCTTTTTCTTATATAGGCTCCTATTACCCCCCACCCCATGTCCCAGTTTTTCACATTTGCTGTCTGGTCACCCTACTGGGGTTTGCTTTCCTCTGGATCCAAGGGTATTGGAACAATTTGTATAGTGGGGGTGCTGAGAGCCATTGAACCAAACTCTAAACCCTATATATGATGGAAACCACATCAGGCCTCCTAGTTCCAGCACCTGTCGGGTCCTATAAGACTATCTGTGCTAGTGTTATGGGGCCATGTCCTGCCAAGGGTTGGGGACTTGCGACTCCCAGCAGGTTCAGAGGCAGCTGCAGGAGTTCAGCCCAGCTGGGGATTTGGCCCATGGTTGAAGTTGCAAACCCACTGCCATAACAAATTCCTCATAGCTGTGGGGAGGGGTTATTGTCAGCTGAACTTTTCCAGTCTGGGTCTCAACCCAAAGGTGAATTATATGGGAAAATGTGAGCAAAATCCATGCACCTATTTATGAGCTCTAGCTAGCTATCTTTGTCTGTGTATCTGTCTACCCCATACACACGCTTCTATCTCTCTGTATGTCTGTCTATCCCTGTACAAGCTCCTTTGTCTGTCTGTCTATCCCCATACCCATTCTTTTATATATGTGTGTGTGCATGTATGTCTAGCCCAGTCTGTCCACCCCATATACATTAGATAGATAGATAGATAGATAGATAGATAGATAGATAGATAGATAG